GGTTTGAACAGATCATTCAGGTGAGCGAAATAAAGTAAAACGAGGGGTTGTCAGTGTCCTGTCCACCCAGAATTGATGTGGTGACAGTGACATATGGGATAACGGCGAGGGAGAGATTGATTACACTGCTCTAAACTGGAGGGCGTCGGAGGATGCCATATGCCGGGAGAGCAAAGCTGGGCAGCTTACAAGACTCTCTAGATCCCAGGAGTGATTGATAGCCTCAGGTAATGAGGCTTTTCAGATCCATCCTCCTCAACTGTTTTATTTTTTTGACTGAGTAGCAGTGGTGGATCCCACAGCTCAGAGATCTGTGTGGTTGGGAAGGGGGCATCGAGACTAAGTTCGGAGGACATAGGACCCAGCAGCTTCTGAGAAGGAAGCATGACCTGGGATCTATAATAAGACTCTGTCGTGCTTGAGAGTGTAAAGACGGCCCCTGTAGATGAACAGGAACCGAGCTCTTTCATTGGATTAACGTGTAAGTAACACAGTAAGAAGTCTGAAGGGGAGCTGTGGCGCCTGGCTTTTCCTGCAGTGACCTTCAAAGAGCCCCTTGCGCCTGCGACATGCTCCTTGGAATAAGGGAGCAGAGTGAGGGGAGGACACGATATAAAATATCCAAGTGCAAAGCTTGGGGGTGGCAGCAGCTACCTGAGCCCAGGGAGTGGGGTTGTGACACCCCAGCTAGGCATGTGTTGCTTCCTTCCCATGGCCCCCACCCTGTCACTCCCCTTTCCATCTGTGGCCTGCCAGACGAAGGAAAATGTACTTTCTTGCCCCCGCTGCCCTTCCCAGCACTGTGGCCATCGCTTCTGGTTCTCAACATTTCCCCAAGGCCCCTCTTCCACGGCTCATTGCTTGAGCTGGACTTGCGCACTCGCCAGTGCAACTCCCTGGGCTGGGCACATCTGTAGAGCCTGGTAGTTTTCTCTCCTTCCCAAAGACACGGAGCGGCTGCAGAGGAGCCTTTACCCAAGACTCAGTAGTGACGGAGTGGAACATTTCCCCACACGGGGTGTGAATCACTCCCTCTGCTCCATGGCTTTGGTCTCCTCCCACTCCGCTTTCCCCTGATGCTTTTCAGGTGCTATTGCCCCGAGTCCTGTAACGGCAGAAGGAAGGAGGTCCCTTTAGATTAGGTTCCACTGTATCTGGTGGATTTCTAACCTGTGCATTTATAACTCCTCCTGCCAAGCGCTCTCTGGGACGGGAAGACGCTCCCTTTAGTTCAGTGGGGCTGAGTCCTTTGTTAAACGTGTCCTGTGATATTAACAATAACAACATGGTTTGTATTGTTGTACAGACCAGATTGTTCTGAGGCAGCGAAGTGGGGGGGGGGGGCGTTAAGGGCGGAGGGGGTTCGTGAAGTAGAAAGTAATGAAATTGAGCCAGAGAGCAGGACTGAGGGGAGAGCAGCCAAGCAGCACTGCCATCCAGGGTCACAGCATAAAGGAGAATCACTTGTTCCCCTTCAATCAATTCACGCTTTTGTTCCCCACCGCACGCCCCTCTCTGCGGCTGAGCACGCCAAGGGAGGGAGGGGAGAGGAGGCAGGCGTTGTCAGGAGCTGTTAAGAAATACATTTATCAACAACAGGGCAAAATCCAGAAAGGAGGGAAGGAGCCTGCTGTCCCCAAAGCTGAGCTGGCAACAATCTTTTATTTATTGATGGCTTTGTTCTGCTCCCATGTTGGGGAATGCTCAGCAAGGGGGACAAGTAGCAATGTGGCGGGAAAGTTAGCCACATTTAAGTATTTAGGCCTCTCCTCCACCACTTCCAAACGGTCCCAGGTGGAGATGTTCGGCCAGTCCTAGAGCCCTTTGAGTCATTCACACATTGCCATAGCCAGGTCCTTGAATTTGCCCCAGTTTGTAGTTTCCAAGTGTTAGTAGGACAGGTAATCAAAGACTTTTTGTCCTTTTTTTGAGTGTTTCTTTAGGAGGGATGCGGTTAGTGAAAGCTTCTTCTGCTGGCTCCCAAACTGAGCCATCCGTCCAGTTAGACTGTGGCTGCATCTTAGTAGAAGTCTTTGATGGAATATTTTTCAAACCAATGGAATGTCAGGATATACAGGAAGAGCATGTTCCTGTGGTGTCGTCAGAGGTTAATTTCCAGTGAGGGTCACGTCTTATTTAAAATTGAAAAGGGCCCATTTCACAAAGCTGAAAACAATTGAGCCAAGTCAGTTGAGACAGAGAATTGAAACAGAAAAATTTGAATGATAATTTGGAATTGTTTAAGAACACTTTACTAGATAATCAAAAAGCCACACTCCCACAGCTGAGAAAGAAGGCCACAGTGGTTAAAAATCAACCTGGCTTGGTAGAGAAGTGAAAGTAGCTATAAAAATAATTATATATAAAAACAAATAGAAGAAAGGGGATGTTGATAGTAATTAATTAAATCAGAAGCTAGGAATTGTAGAAAATGGATAAAGGAAGCAAAAGGACAAGAAAAAAAATCTATGGACCGCATCGTTAAGGATGTAAGACATTTTTAAAGTATATGTGGAAATGGTAGAATTGTCATTAATAATGCAGAAAAAGCAGAACAGGTCAATAAATATTTCTGTGCTGTATTTGGGAAAAAGCTGGATGATGAAGTCATATAATATGATGGAATACTTTACATTCCAACAGTAACACAGGAGAATGCTAAAGAGCAGCTTCTAAAGCTAGACACTTTTAAATCAGCAGATCTGAATAACTTTCATCCAAGAGTTTTAAAAGAGCTGACCGAGGAGCCCTCTGAATAGTTAATGTTGATTTTTCAATAAGTCTTGGAACTCTGGGGAAGTTCAAGAAGACTGGAAGAAAGGTAATGTGCCTATATTTTAAAAGGGTAAAGCAGACGACCCAGGTAATTATAGGCCTGTCAGTCTGACATCAGTCCCGGGCAAAATAATGGAATGGCTGATAAGGGGCTTGATTAACAAAGAATTAAAAGAGGGTGCTATAATTAATGCCAATCAAGATGGATTTATGGAAAATAGATCCTGTCAAATTAACTTGATATCTTTTATGATGAGATTACAAGTTTGGTTGATAAAGGTAATGTGACATAATATATTTAGACTTCTTTAAGGCATTTGAGTTGGTATTGCACGATATTTTGATTCAGAAACTAGAATGATACAAAAACAACATGGTACACAGTAAATGCATTAAAAACTGGCTAACTGATAGGTCTCAAAATGTAATTGTAAATGGAAAAATCCTAATTGAGCAGCTGTGTTCCTAGTGGTGTCTGCTGGGATCGGTTCTTGACCCTATGCTATTTAATATTTGTTATCAATGACCTGAAAGAAAATACAGTTTGAGAACCACGGCAATATGCTAAACGTAAGGTCATACATCTAGGAACAAAGAGTGTAGGCCATACTTGCAGGATGGGGAAGCAGTGACTCTGAACAGGACTTGGAAGTCATGGTGGATAATCAGCTGAACATGAGACAGTACAACACTGTGGCCAAAAGGGCTAACGTGATCCTTGGATGCATAAACAGGGGAATCTTGACTAGGGTTAGGGAGGTTGTATTATCTCTGTCTTTGGCACTGGTGCAGCCACTAATGGACTCTTGTCTTGAGTTCTGGTGTCCACAATTCAAGAAGGATGTTGATAAGTTGGAGAGGGCTCAGAGAAGAGCAGTGAGAATGGTTAAAGGATTGGAAAACCTGCCTTAGAGTGATAGACTCAAGGAGCTCAATCTATTTAGCTTTAGCGAAGGTGAAGGGGTGACTTGATCACAGTCTATAAATACCGACATGGAAAACAGAAACTTGGTAATAAAGGGCTCTTCAGTCTAGCAAACAAAGATCTAACCCAACGATTCTCAAACGTTTGTACTAGTGACCCCTTCCACACAGCAAGTCTCTGAGTGCAACCGCCCCTGATAAATTAAAAACACTTTTTTACATATTTAACACCATTATAAATGCTGGAGGCAAAGCGGGGTTTGGGGTGGAGGCTGACAGCTCGTGACCCCCCCCCCCCACACACACAATAACCTCACGACCCCCTGAGGCGTCCCGACCCCATTTTGAGAACCCCTGATATAATGAGATCCCATGGCCAGAAGGTAAAACTAGACAAATTCAGATTAGAAATAAAGTGCAATTTTTTAACACTGAGGTAATTAATCATTGGAACAACTTACTAAGAGATGAGGTGGATTCTCCATCACTGACCATGTTAAAATCAAGACTGGATTTGGCCTTCTGGCCTTGGAATCTATAAACTTATAAACATTTCAGCAAAGGAGATCTCCTCTCTCCCTCCCCCCACATATACACATTGCAAGAGTTTCTCTCTGTGAGTCGAGTACTTTGGCTCAGACCCTTGTGTATTGTAGTGGTCAATATGCTGTTCCTTCCCTTTAAGAAGGAAGAGGATCTCTGAGCTTTGAAAGGCTGGTGACTTCATATAGCACTGTCCAGGGCTGTATTTCCTAAAGGAATGGATGGACTCTGCCATACATGTTTATTTTCATGTGCATGTTAACAGTTCTAAAAGGTGCTGGCTATTGGAAGCTACAGTTTCTACACATCATCCCACATTGGCTGATTGAGAGAGTGAAAGCAGTGGTGTGATTCACTGCCAAGATTCCCCTGGTGCTTCTGAGAATAAGTTGATTGATGGTGTGGGGGTCAGAATGGAGGGGGTTTTGGACATCATTGTACAGTAGATTGGGTTCAAGATGGCAGGGATGCAGGGGGTTCATCATTTTCATAAGTATTAGGCAGCAGTATGGGTTAGAGATAAGAAACCACACTTGATAGACTCATTCTGATTGGACAAGTCACTTTCCCGCCCTCTGCCTCAGTTTCCCTTTACATCGTACTAAAGAATGCTCACATAGCTATTTGAAGGGTTTGTAAAGTACTTGCTTGTGAGCCTTCTCCCAAAGGTGGTATGGAAGAGCCAGTGGCGGCAGTGACATGAAGGCTATTCTCCTCCATAGTTTGTATTTAGGTGCCTTTTCTTCTTTCCTTTCCAGGTTTGGGAGAAGTTCTTAAGCCCCAGAGCTCCACGGATCAGCATCTTCATGGCGGTCCCCACTATTTACTCCAGACTGGTGGAGCATTATGACAGGCATTTCTCTCAGCCTTCTGTCCAGGATTTCGTACGTGCCACGTGCCGGGATAATTTCAGGTAGCTCAAAGATGTCCGTCTTCACAGCCTAAGAGGCTTACAGACGAGACCTAGGGAGTACATCCTCTACAATAGATACGCTCACGCTGTCCCAGCCTTCCTGGGCTGGAGAAGGCTCACTAACACTGTGGAAAATGTTACGAGGGGAGGGTGTGAAGAAGGCTGGGCGCGGGTGATGGAGGAATGGAGAAGTTTGAGCTGTGTGCAGAGCATCTCGAGGGTAGCACCAGCAGTGAGCACAGTGGATTGTATGATGTCATTCCTGTAGTGCTTCCAGGTTCTCTAGGATTCTCTCGAGTTGTGGTACCAGGTTCTGCTTCAGTCCAATGACCAGGCCAATGGCAGGCTGTCTCTTGCTTATTAAAAACCATCCTTCACGTATGGGCTCACAGTCCTGGCTCCAAAGCACAGACGTGTAGGCAGTTCTGTTCAGGCAGAGTGCCTGGTTAAAGCCTGGCCCTGCAGGATTCTTTTCTAAACTTCGCCACTCTGCAAAGCTGGGCAAATCACGTCGCTTCTCTGGGCTTTAATTTCTCACCCTGAAAAGTGGGAACAATGATCCCTTGCAAGAGCGATTCATATGTGGGGTCATTCTGATCCTCTAGTCTGACCTCCTGCATAACACAGGCCAGAGAACCTCACCCAATAATTTCCATATCAACCATACGTTCTCTTTGAGCTAGAGGGTCTCTTTTTAGAAACGCATCCAGTCTTGACTTCGACTGCAAGTGATGGAGGATCTGCTGTGTCTGTGCCGTGTGATGTAACTTTCTGACACTGCTGAATGGCCTGAGGTTCCCCAAGGCACTACAGATGGGCAAAGGCTTCTTGTACTACAGCAGTAATTCTCTAGGTAAAGAATATGCCGGTGATGCTCACCGCGTGGCATTTCCTTGCACAGGTTAATGGTTTCAGGATCGGCAGCCCTTCCTGTGCCAGTCCTGGAGAGGTGGAAGAACATCACCGGACACACGCTGCTGGAGAGGTACGGGATGACAGAGATCGGAATGGCACTTTCTAACCCCTTGCACGGAGTTCGTGTCCCAGGTATAAATCGTCTTCGAAAGGTGGAGAGGGTTGAGACACCTTTGTGCCAACCTATCTTTTAGTGTTGTAAATGCGTTTTGTTCTTCTGCTCGGAGAATGTGTGTCCGTACCCAAACTTCTCCCAGGACAGGACTGGGTTAGGCAGGAAGCTGCTGGTCAGGACTGGGGGCATTGGCAAAGCTGTAGGGGAAGGAGGGGTCAAGGAGTAGGATGAGGGGGGTGCTGCTGGTCAGGATTCAGGGGCATTCGCAGAACTGTGGCGACCCATAATTGTTAATAGTGGGGGGGCCCAATGTAAAGGTTCAGAGGAGCCCATGCATCAACTCCGGGTGCAGGAACCTTCCAGCCCCACCTCCTTGGCCCAGGACAGCCAATCCCGCTGGCTCCTGGGCGGCTGGGGCTGCAGGAGTGGGGCGCACGTGCCCATGGGCCAGCCCCCGTCCCTGGGCAGGGAACTCCAGTTTCTCCCTGGAGTTCCCCGGCCCTCTCAGACACTTCAGCAGAGGGAGAAGTGTAGGCAATGCTGCTAACTCAGCACAGGGAACCTGCTGCTGCTGTCTTCCCTAGTGGCCCAGTGCCAGGTCCAGGGCTGCTGCGCTCTCCCTGCCCTGGCAGGGTAACCTTCTGCGCGGGCCACTGTTGCCACCCCAGCCAGGATCTTGCAGGCAGTTGCTGCGCTGCACAGAGGCAGTGACCTGGAGCGGCCACCCTCACCCGGCAGGAGAAGTGGCTCCATCCTACTGCCTCCACTCCCCACTCGGGCCTGGCTACCACGGAGAGGGGCCCCGCAAGCTGGAAATGTGCCGGGGGTAGGGTGCAGCATGAGAAGGACAATGCCTTCAACACTCCCAGGGGGCATGTAACCCTCTGCGCCCCCCCATGTCACCGCTGGCTGTGTAGGGACCCAGAGCTAGGATGGGGGATGCTGCCTGTCAGGATTGAGTGCCATGGGCATAGCTGGGGAAGCGGGGTTAGGATGGGGGTGCTGCCAGTGGTGATTGAGGTGTCTGGGTAGAACCATGGGAGTAGCCACTGTAATATCAGGGAGGATGCACTGGCGGAGCTGTGAGTGGAAAGCTGCAATGTGCATCGTAGCCCCAGTTTGTCATAAAGAAATAAAAACGTCTGCAACTCAGTCCTGACTTCACTCAGCTGTGGCAGAAGATTTTTACTGAAGGGTTCCTGGTAACATGTTTTTACCAGCTGTTTTAGGACTTTCCAGTGATAAAGGGAAATGCACTTGTATGATAAAGAAAGAGGTAAATCGTAGTAAGAGCCTCTCTTTATAGTCCACAAGGGACGTGCTGTAGAGCAGTTGCCTAATGGTGTCTGAGAAAGAGGGGTCAGCCCCTGTCTGTCTGCAGGGATTTTCCAGCTCCTCTTAGAGCTGCTGGAAGCAGCCAAACCAAGTTTCAGCATAGACCCTCCTGCTGGTTGTCTCTGTTCTTCACACGCTTACCTCCACAGAAGTGACACTGCTGGCTAGGTTGAGTCTAGATCTGTCTCCTCTGGCACAGCACTTCCTTGTTCCCAAAGGCTTTGTGCTTCCGCACTGCAGCACAGCAAAAGGACAGAGCCCTCTGTGTCTTGCCTTTTGCTTCAGCTCCTGGCTAATAGCTTTCCTGCCTTCCCAAGAGAAGGGCTGGCACTTTGACCTTCTCCATGAAAGGTTAACCTGTAATACATGAGCAAGCAGGAAGCCTAGTGTTCAGCTGAGAATCAGGCCTGCTGGAGAGATTGGTGAGGTGTATGCTTTGCATTCAGTGACGGAGGGCTCTCTGAACCTGCTTTCCTTTTAACTGAAGGGCCTATCCACCTTCGTTCTGAGGGCATCATCTGACCTTCCTCCACCTCTTCCTGATGAGGAGAGAGGCACGCTGCATCAAGGTGGAATTTATTTATTTAGAATGATCTGTTGCAGATTCACTGGTTTTTAACAGAATCTGCTTGTTGCTTTTTGTTTCGATTCAATGAGGAGCAGTCATAGACTGGCTCAGGCTCTTCAGAGCCTCCAGCACAACCTGAAGTCTTCGATGGAAAAGGTGGATCGGTCCAGCGCCCCCACTTCTGCGGCGAGTCCCAGGGAGGGGCCTGTCTCCCAATTGTATCCATGTCTGGTATCTCAGTTAGATTCTCCCCCAGCTAGCAAAGTGCACAAGGCTGGGTACTTGAGATAGGATGTCTGTTCACTCTTATTTTAGTGCAGGTGTATTGCTCCTTTACAACCTAATACCTCCGGTTCTGTGAATGTTCGGAGGTTGGAGATGAATTTTAGAGGTCACCACATGGGAGGCTGCTGCTGGAAGTAGTTCTGATCTGTCCCTCCAGCACTGTTGGTTAAATATGTAAGGTTCAGCACAAGCAGCTTCTTGTGGACAAGGGTTGTCGTGCTGCTTTTCTCTCTGAGGCTGTTCTGACCCTACAAGTCAGGTCTCATTGGTCCTGGTTTGAGAATGTGCTGTCACTGCATATTCATCGAGAAAAAGAACCTTTCTCACCTGTGAGCATGAATTTGAGGAGTAACTACATCACTAAACCAGGTCCGCCCCCTTCTGGGCAGATAAGTGACTGAGCCTTCACAATGTAGCCGAGGGGCTTAGAATGCCATTGCATTCACTCGAAGGACAGTTAGCCCAGCTGATCTGCTGAATGGCCTTGGTGCCTATGGAGGGTTATGAATATGGCCAGCCCTACTTAGCCAGCCCAGACATAGCCCAAATTTGCTTTCTGGTGCATCTTCCTCCCCCTGCCTTTGCTCCACACAGCTTTTGAATCTTTGTGATGTTTCCTCTTTGTCTTTCTTGTTACTGTTGTAGTTTTCAGTACCTAAGAGGGAGACTGAGCTAAACTGCCAAATAAATAAAGGTAAAATTCGCTGTCTTCCATTGTTGTATGCAGAGTGGTGGCCATGTCAGACCCAGGTTATTAGAGAGACAAGGTGGGGGAGGGCCCAACTTCAGTTGGTGAGAGAGAGAGAAGCTTGGGTCAGAACACAGCCCCCCCTCAGCTGAGCAGCACAGGCCACCAAGAACACATGGCTCCAGGGCTCAGCGTCTCAGCATGGACTGCCTGTGGAGTACTGTCTCAATTGCAGGCGGTTGTTTTCTATCTTCAAAGTTGTCTATGGCACCCAAGTTACCTGAGGGGACTGAACACCTTGCCAGGCGTCGTCATCACTCCCCACGACAGCTCAATTCCACTGGAGCAAAACTCTCCCCTGGGAGGGAGCCTCATGCATACAGGAGATGGAGCTTTCTCGGTCTCTGGCTGATGAACCTGGAAATCACTCAGGATCAGAACAAAATGCAAATGCACTTCTCCAATCTTGCTGTCCCCCAATAACACACTCAGAGATCATCCCCCTCCTACACCAAATCTCGTCCCTGCTGACTAGAAGACAGAGCAAGTATGAGAATTATTTTGTCACGGGCACACTTTGTAATTTTGCGAGGTGCCTGGATACCACAATGATGGGCACAGTATAAACACTAAGGCTTAGTCTGCACTACAGAGTTTGGTCAATGTAAGGCAGCTTAGGTTGACATAACTATGTAAGTGTACACATGTAGCGACGCGGGACTCGCCCCTGCAGCGCCCCCTGCTGGTCGCCCAGGGAACTAGTGTTCCAGCCGTTGGAGCGCCCTCTGCAGGTCAATTTCCCCTGTTGCTGGCCCCCTATCCCTCCCGGACCCCAGTGCCCCCTCCCTTGGGTGCTGCCCCCTGGCAGTACCTCACACTCTTTGGGCTCTCCTCCCAAGGGAATTCCCACCCTCTGTCCCCACCTTGCCTCAGTGTTCACTGCCAGTCCTCATCTAGCCCCCACACTCTGGGGCAGACTGCAGTCCATATCACTCATCATTGGCAAGGGGGGTTTGAACCTGCTGCCTCCACCTACCCCCAGGCTGCACCTCTGCAACCCCAGTACCTTTTCAGGCCTTTGGCTAGGCCTGCAGCCTGGGGGTTTTCCAGGTGGGAGCTCCCTGGCTCCCTTGCCCTATTCCCCAGCACTGCTCTACTCCAGTAGCTTAGTCAAGTCCCAGGCAGCCAGGCCTTTCTCTCTCTGCGCCTAGAGAGAGACTGCCTGTGCTCCTGGCCCACAGCCTCCTTATAGGGCCAATTGCGGCCTGATTGGGGCGTGGCCCAGCTGTGGCTACTTCCCCAATCAGTCCAGGTTTTCCCCTACCACAGCCCTCTCCCAGAGCTGTTTTAAGCCCTTCAGGGCAGGAGCAGGTGGCCACCCCGCTACAACACACTACAGCCTTGCTCCTGTCGATGTAAGTGCCCTACCAACGCCACCATCCTAACTCCACCTCCATGACAGGCGTAGGGCTTATGTCAGTGTAGCTAGGGTGAAGCAGCGTCTACTGGGTTACTTACATCAGCTGTTGGCTCTCATTCTTGTCAATTTTATGGCTCCATGCAGGAGCTGTGAAATTGACAAGAAAGCTGGGCTGTCACCCTGGGGCGGGGCGGGGGCTCCAGGTAGAGCCTGGCTGCTCCCAGCTCCCAGCCGGGCTGTTGCCCGGGCACCCCACTCCCCACTGGGCTGCTCCCCGTCCTCCCCATGGCTGCACCAAGGCTCCCTGCTCCCCGCCAGGAGCCTGGGCAGCAGCAACAAGGCACCTGACTGCATCCTGGCTCCCAGCTACACGGAGGCTTTCCGGGCTCCCCACTGGGAGTCCAGCAACCGACCAGACCTGGGCAAAGAGCTCCCGGTAAGGAGCTGCGTGCAGAGCTGAGAGCCTCTTGCCCCCCCTCCCGCCCCTCTTTTCAGTTAGCGGAAGTGCTCCCACTGAGGACGTGCACCACCGAAAGAAGGAGGGTAGTGTGGACATGAACCGCTGCAGCAATTACTGTGGTGGTTGCAAGTTGACCTAACATAGGTCGACTTAAGTTTATAGTGTAGACATACCTTAAGGTGGGGCAGAGAGAGAAATGATTTCATTGCCTTTGTAGTCAGTAGGAAAAGTGAGAGTAACCACCAGAATGAGAGAGAAGTT